GATGGCAACAAATAATCCGAATCCGTCATGGTTTCTGTGATTCATGATAACTACTGCAGCACAGTTTTTGACTCAAGGGGAAAATTTAAAAGGGCGAGAAAGAGATCTATGATTTTTATCTACATCTAAACTCCAACCATGATGTAACTACATTGACAGCTCCCTGATCTTAACATCTTAACTCACCTCCAGGAAAAGATAAACACATTTTTAATCAAAGATAATCAGATATTTACTTCTGGTTTGTGTCATGTCACAGTTTCAACACAGTTTTGATGAAAGGACTTAATTATGTTTGACCTTTTTAATAACATAAAACACACATATTGCTATTTAATTGTGCTTTTTCAGTACTGTGATATTAAACTGTGTTTTATGGATGTATTTTTTCCTCTCTTAACAGCGTATTTAATTTTATTTCAGTTTTGTAGTAAATTTGATTTGGACAGAGGGAAGGACACAATGTTGCACACTGATGCCACAATGACAAATTTTATTCTGTATATTACAACACCTTGTTTTTATTTCAGTGCATCAGTTTGAGGTGTGGACTTTGACTGGGCCATTGCCACACCTTGATTCTTTTCTTTTTCAGCCATCCTGTTGTAGATTTGCTGCTATTTGGAGTCACTGTCTGTATACAGAGGAATTCAGTAAGCACAAGGTGCTCAGGTCCTGTGGCTGTAAAAACAAACAAACAAAAAAAAACAAATCATCACCCCTCCACCTCTGTGCTTGACAGTTGATATGACGTGGCGTGATTGTGCTGATATGCTGTGTTTAGTTCTCACCAAGCATGGGGCTGTGCATATAGACAAAGGACGTTCCAGAAATCTTGTGGTTCATTCGGACAAAACTTTGCAAACCAAATCTTTTCATGTTTGTTTGTTTGTTTGTTTGTTTTTGTTGGGGTGGGGGGTTAGAAAGAGGGTTTCACCTGGCAACCAATGCCATATTTCTTCCATCTTTTCTAACCGTATTGTCATGAACAGTAACATTTACCATGCTAACTGAGGACTGGACTTTGCAGTTTCTCTGCATAGTCTGACCTTGGGTTGAATTTGCTGGCATGTCCATTCATGGGAAGATTCACAACCATCCTGAATATTTTCCACTCCACTGGTACTCACCCTGAGTTTCTTTGTTTCTTTGTTTTAAAACAAAGCATTTTCATTTCAGTTTCATTTTTGTTTGAAAAGAAATGGGGACACAGTGTAATTTTTCAGGTCTTGTTGCTCAGTTGAAGTTGTAATATATTATTTTAATTATGTTCTGATATTGAGAAACTTGTATTTCAATGTTTTTGGCACAAAGTTATAACCCTAACCTCCTTAGTGTTTGCTGATCCTTGGAACTCAGCATTTGTGCAAAAGAAGAAATTAAACATTTGGCTTTCAGTGCTTAAATTATATCTGCAGTGTCACACAGTACTGTGCTTTTCAGATGCTGTTTTTTCTGAAGCCATGTCCATATGCATATTTGGTTGAATCAACCAGCCAACGAGTATTTTAAACAAACCAAAATCATATATAATGCTGCAGAAGTATTCTAAAATCACAAATTCATATAGCTCTACACTCATCACTAAAATGAACAATCTACAATCTTTCATAAAAATTATAGTTTTTACTTTTTTATCTGCCTACTCCTTACAACACTTTCAAGAACCTTGAAGAGGTTTGGAAAAACAACAGCACACGTGTTAGCCCTGATACTGCGCAAATGCAGATGGTCTTTGTCAAACGTAAAAGCCTTTAGCCATGTTTAAACATGCATGCAGCATGTCAGGGATGATCTGTATTTTCTACAAAGGTCAGGCAGGAAACATATGGAAGGTGTTCTTCTTCTTAAATGTAAACTATGTCTAAATCCTTGACACCTCCAATGAATGTTACATGGTGTGGCAGTGAGGTGAAGCAGCTTCCCTTACATGGGAAAATGTTTTAGAGATAGCTTTTTAAAATGTGTATGGCAGGCAGAAAATCCAGTCATCCATAACTGGGATTTTTAGGGGAGAAAGTAGAATTTTACACACTGTCTTTTAATATTCTTCCTTTTTCTCTGTAAGCAGATACACAATAACAT